TTCTAATTTCCTTTATTGATTCCTAACATTGAGCGATTAACCCAGTGTGTAGGTGTGTTTAAATGAGGATGTACTGTGTGTGTTGCACAGTCTGAGGAACACAACGCTATATTTTTTTGATGTCCAATAAATCCCTTCTCCACAGGTGTTGCTGGATGCTTCTTCAGCGCGTGCCGCATATATTAGACTCAGACGAGGTTGAGGCATTAGAATGAGCATTTCTGCTTCAGAACTTCGGCAACAGGTTGGATGTGGCCGTAACACAGAAGCAGCGTTCACACAGGTCACATGACTTACTTCAGCCGCACCGGCGGAGCCGTTCACCACCTCGAAGATGCCCGTCTCCTCCAGCGACACCTGCACACACACACACACACACACACCCGGTCAGTCCCGCAGAAGCACACCTCCACCTCCACTGGACGAGGCGCTCTCAGACCTTCAGATCCCTCAGGCGTGTCCTGGCGAGCGTCACGTACTCCTGCAGCAGAGAGCGGTACTTCCCCCCGAAGAACGGCGGATGCATGACGTGGACCTGGAGAACACATCACACCCGCTGTCACGCTCAGGGCATCGGCACGGGGACTCTCGGACCGCAGAGACACTCACCTTCAGATACTGGGGGCGCTCAAAGGGAACCAGATCTGACAGGAACTTCAGGAGGAACAGTGTGGACTTCTTGCTTTTAGCGTGGAAACTGCTAGATCCCCCAAACGACAGCTGACAAAGAAGATCACCCTCAGGTTAACCAGAAACACACAACATCAGAACTCATTTAACCCTGGTGAAGGGTTGAAAATGACTGGCCTTTTAAATTGCATGTAAATCTCACTATGAAATCACCAAATATAGTATTTAATCTTTTTATCAACGTGTTTTCTTTCAATTAGCACAGGTTTTGTATTTCTCAGTGGATCTGACTCATCCACCTCAGTTTATGCGTGAAATAAGGTTTTCCTTTTCACCTAAAACTACTAAGATCAATCAAAACAACATACTAAACATGTGCTATGTGAAAGAAACTCGACTTAATCCAATGCAATAACAGCATAGCGAGAGATTTAGAAGCCGGTCATTTGTGCCTGGGAACACCACAAGTATAACAAGGTGGGAAAAACCCCAAAAAGTACAAGAATTATCAAGAAATATTGGGAAGTTGTATGGAAGCTGGTTTCCGCCACAGAATAAACGATAAAAAAAGGTAATTGCAACTTTTTTCCCCTCACAATTGCAAGTTTACATCTCGAAATTCCGACTTTATTTCTCAGATTTGCGTGTTATAAAGTCAGAATTGTGAGAGAAAAAAAGTCCGTTTTTATCTTGCAATTCTGACTTTACAACAGAATTGCGACTTTATAACAATTTTATAATAATTTGCGTTTGTGACTTAATGTCTCGCAAATCTGAGAAATAAAGTCGGAATTGCGAGATGTAAACTTGCAATTGAACCCTAACTATACCCTGTGTGACCAAAGTCAGACAGTTTTAGTCCAATATGATAATCCTCTCAAATTGGCGGGAACACAACACAACATCCTGAGGGTTTAGCGCGCGAGTGCTGGTAGCGGACGACTGACCTTAAACCAGTCGCTGTATGAGGGGAAGACGGCGGGGCCCTCGAGAGACGCCTGACGGGACAGCAGGAACAGCGAGACCATCTTCTCCACATCACAGCTGTGACACGAGGACCTCAGCATCCGGGAGAGCAGATCTGAACACACACACACACACACACGGGGGTCAGGACTCCCTCAGCAGCCGGGACAGCAGATCTGAACACACACACACACACACACGGGGGTCAGGACTCCCTCAGCAGCCGGGACAGCAGATCTGAACACACACACACACACACACACACACAGGGGTCAGGACTCCCTCAGCATCCGGGAGAGCAGATCTGAACACACACACACACACAGGGGTCAAGACTCCCTCAGCAGCCGGGACAGCAGATCTGAACACACACACACAGGGGTCAGGACTCCCTCAGCAGCCGGGACAGCAGATCTGAACACACACACGCACACACACACACACGCACACACACACACACAGGGGTCAGGACTCCCTCAGCAGCCGGGACAGCAGATCTGAACACACACACACACACACACACGGGTCAGGACTCCCTCAGCAGCCGGGACAGCAGATCTGAACACACACACACACACACACACACAGGGGTCAGGACTCCCTCAGCATCCGGGACAGCAGATCTGAACACACACACACACACAGGGGTCAGGACTCCCTCAGCAGCCGGGACAGCAGATCTGAACACACACACACACACAGGGGTCAGGACTCCCTCAGCAGCCGGGACAGCAGATCTGAACACACACAGGGGTCAGGAGCTGTACAGCTGAAGAGCTGTGTGTGTGTGTGTGTGTGTGTGTGTGTGTGTGTGTGTGTGTGTGTGTGTGTGTGTGTGTGTGTGTGTGTGGTACCTGTGAGGCGGCTCTGTGTCTGCGCATCATGAACCAGCAGGTGAGACACACACGACAGCACGTGACGCCAGTTCACCTCGTGTGTCTCTAACACTCGCTGCAGCTGATCCAACACACACTCCACGCTGAAGACAACACAGATCTGACACACACACACACACACACACACACACAGGATGGAATCTGATCAGATGTCAAGGTTTTCATCGTTCATCAGCAGGAAAACACACATGATTTGTGAATCCAGAGCTATTGTGGCGTCATCATTATGGCTGTGGTGTGGACTCTGCTATTCCCTTACAGTTTAATATCTTTACTGTTTTCATCCTTGGTGTTTCTCTTTCCTATAAACACATTTACTACAGGAAATTTAGATTTCAAAACAAAGCAACTTAGAAGGAAAAGGAAACCCAAGTGAGGCCGTCACACTGAATCTCTGAGACGAGCAGAACACCTTCATGTAAAGATATATAGATAAATGTGTGTGTTGCTTATGTCTCAGCAGATTCAATGATCACTGGAAGTTAAACCTCTTCCTCTGGTGACTCTTCATGCTGTTCAACGGCAGTGTGTGTGTGTGTGTGTGTGTGTGTGTGTGTGTGTGTGTGTGTGTGTGTGTGTGTGTGTGTGTGTGTGTGTGTAAAGAGACAGATCTGATCTCAATGAGCTTGTGAAGGCACATGACACGTCATGGATAAGCTCAGGTTCCTCTGTGTTCATGTAGAGTCGCTTACCTTGCAGAAAAGAGCCGTCAGTAACGGAAGGGTTTTAGCAAAGCTCCATTCACTCTGTGTGGCGATGGCATCCGACACTACACAAATCACAATCACACACACATCAGACAGCCGTACAGGTGATCACACACACACACACAGAACAGAGATCTCTCCTCCTCTTTCTCCAGTGACTTTATGACGGAGTCGTTGAAACAATCACTTGACTGATTAGTTTCTGAAACTCATCCTGTACTGGCAGAACCGACATGCTTTCACTCGTGCACTCTTCACACAGCAGTGATCTGCCCTTCACTATTGCAAAACTAGGAGGCCGAATATTGAAGCAGGAAAGTGAAATCTGCCTGAAGTCTCACCTTTAAAGACGGGTTGGTGTGTGAGAACGCGCATGAGCGAGTGTGTGAAGAACCGCTGCAATGTGTCTTCAGACACACACACACCGAACACTGAGGCATCGAACACCTGAACCCTGGATCACAACACACATGAGGATCATCACACAGGACACACACACCAGTGTAACACACATGAGGATCATCACACAGGAGACACACACCAGTGTAACACACATGAGGATCATCACACAGGACACACACACCAGTGTAACACACATGAGGATCATCACACAGGACACACACACCAGTGTAACACACATGAGGATCATCACACAGGACACACACACCAGTGTAACACACATGAGGATCATCACACAGGAGACACACACACCAGTGTAACACACATGAGGATCATCACACAGGACACACACACCAGTGTAACACACATGAGGATCATCACACAGGACACACACCAGTGTAACACACATGAGGATCATCACACAGGACACACACACCAGTGTAACACACATGAGGATCATCATACAGGACACACACCAGTGTAACACACATGAGGATCATCACACAGGACACACACACCAGTGTAACACACATGAGGATCATCACACAGGAGACACACACCAGTGTAACACACATGAGGATCATCACACAGGAGACACACCAGTGTAACACACATGAGGATCATCACACAGGACACACACACCAGTGTAACACACATGAGGATCATCACACAGGAGACACACACCAGTGTAACACACATGAGGATCATCACACAGGAGACACACACACCAGTGTAACACACATGAGGATCATCACACAGGAGACACACACCAGTGTAACACACATGAGGATCATCACACAGGAGACACACACCAGTGTAACACACATGAGGATCATCACACAGGAGACACACACACCAGTGTAACACACATGAGGATCATCACACAGGACACACACACCAGTGTAACACACATGAGGATCATCACACAGGAGACACACACCAGTGTAACACACATGAGGATCATCACACAGGAGACACACACACCAGTGTAACACACATGAGGATCATCACACAGGACACACACCAGTGTAACACACATGAGGATCATCACACAGGACACACACACCAGTGTAACACACATGAGGATCATCACACAGGAGACACACACCAGTGTAACACACATGAGGATCATCACACAGGACACACACACCAGTGTAACACACATGAGGATCATCACACAGGAGACACACACACCAGTGTAACACACATGAGGATCATCACACAGGACACACACACCAGTGTAACACACATGAGGATCATCACACAGGAGACACACACCAGTGTAACACACATGAGGATCATCACACAGGACACACACACCAGTGTAACACACATGAGGATCATCACACAGGACACACACACCAGTGTAACACACATGAGGATCATCACACAGGAGACACACACACCAGTGTAACACACATGAGGATCATCACACAGGAGACACACACACCAGTGTAACACACATGAGGATCATCACACAGGACACACACACCAGTGTAACACACATGAGGATCATCACACAGGAGACACACACCAGTGTAACACACATGAGGATCATCACACAGGACACACACACCAGTGTAACACACATGAGGATCATCACACAGGACACACACACCAGTGTAACACACATGAGGATCATCACACAGGAGACACACACCAGTGTAACACACATGAGGATCATCACACAGGAGACACACACCAGTGTAACACACATGAGGATCATCATACAGGAGACACACACCAGTGTAACACACATGAGGATCATCACACAGGAGACACACACCAGTGTAACACACATGAGGATCATCACACAGGAGACACACACCAGTGTAACACACATGAGGATCATCACACAGGAGACACACACCAGTGTAACACACATGAGGATCATCACACAGGACACACACACCAGTGTAACACACATGAGGATCATCACACAGGAGACACACACCAGTGTAACACACATGAGGATCATCACACAGGACACACACCAGTGTAACACACATGAGGATCATCACACAGGACACACACCAGTGTAACACACATGAGGATCATCACACAGGACACACACCAGTGTAACACACATGAGGATCATCACACAGGACACACACCAGTGTAACACACATGAGGATCATCACACAGGAGACACACACCAGTGTAACACACATGAGGATCATCACACAGGACACACACACCAGTGTAACACACATGAGGATCATCACACAGGACACACACCAGTGTAACACACATGAGGATCATCACACAGGAGACACACACCAGTGTAACACACATGAGGATCATCACACAGGACACACACACCAGTGTAACACACATGAGGATCATCACACAGGAGACACACACCAGTGTAACACACATGAGGATCATCACACAGGAGACACACACACCAGTGTAACACACATGAGGATCATCACACAGGAGACACACACCAGTGTAACACACATGAGGATCATCACACAGGAGACACACACCAGTGTAACACACATGAGGATCATCACACAGGAGACACACACCAGTGTAACACACATGAGGATCATCACACAGGAGACACACACCAGTGTAACACACATGAGGATCATCACACAGGACACACACACCAGTGTAACACACATGAGGATCATCACACAGGACACACACACCAGTGTAACACACATGAGGATCATCACACAGGACACACACACCAGTGTAACACACATGAGGATCATCACACAGGACACACACACCAGTGTAACACACATGAGGATCATCACACAGGACACACACACCAGTGTAACACACATGAGGATCATCACACAGGAGACACACACCAGTGTAACACACATGAGGATCATCACACAGGACACACACACCAGTGTAACACACATGAGGATCATCACACAGGAGACACACACCAGTGTAACACACATGAGGATCATCACACAGGACACACACACCAGTGTAACACACATGAGGATCATCACACAGGACACACACACCAGTGTAACACACATGAGGATCATCACACAGGACACACACACCAGTGTAACACACATGAGGATCATCACACAGGACACACACACCAGTGTAACACACATGAGGATCATCACACAGGACACACACACCAGTGTAACACACATGAGGATCATCACACAGGACACACACACCAGTGTAACACACATGAGGATCATCACACAGGACACACACACCAGTGTAACACACATGAGGATCATCACACAGGAGACACACACCAGTGTAACACACATGAGGATCATCACACAGGACACACACACCAGTGTAACACACATGAGGATCATCACACAGGACACACACACCAGTGTAACACACATGAGGATCATCACACAGGAGACACACACACCAGTGTAACACACATGAGGATCATCACACAGGAGACACACACCAGTGTAACACACATGAGGATCATCACACAGGAGACACACACCAGTGTAACACACATGAGGATCATCACACAGGACACACACACCAGTGTAACACACATGAGGATCATCACACAGGACACACACACCAGTGTAACACACATGAGGATCATCACACAGGAGACACACACCAGTGTAACACACATGAGGATCATCACACAGGAGACACACACACCAGTGTAACACACATGAGGATCATCACACAGGACACACACACCAGTGTAACACACATGAGGATCATCACACAGGAGACACACACACCAGTGTAACACACATGAGGATCATCACACAGGAGACACACACACCAGTGTAACACACATGAGGATCATCACACAGGACACACACACCAGTGTAACACACATGAGGATCATCACACAGGAGACACACACCAGTGTAACACACATGAGGATCATCACACAGGAGACACACACCAGTGTAACACACATGAGGATCATCACACAGGAGACACACACACCAGTGTAACACACATGAGGATCATCACACAGGAGACACACACACCAGTGTAACACACATGAGGATCATCACACAGGAGACACACACCAGTGTAACACACATGAGGATCATCACACAGGAGACACACACCAGTGTAACACACATGAGGATCATCACACAGGACACACACACCAGTGTAACACACATGAGGATCATCACACAGGAGACACACACCAGTGTAACACACATGAGGATCATCACACAGGAGACACACACACCAGTGTAACACACATGAGGATCATCACACAGGACACACACACCAGTGTAACACACATGAGGATCATCACACAGGAGACACACACCAGTGTAACACACATGAGGATCATCACACAGGAGACACACACCAGTGTAACACACATGAGGATCATCACACAGGAGACACACACACCAGTGTAACACACATGAGGATCATCACACAGGAGACACACACACCAGTGTAACACACATGAGGATCATCACACAGGAGACACACACCAGTGTAACACACATGAGGATCATCACACAGGACACACACACCAGTGTAACACACATGAGGATCATCACACAGGAGACACACACCAGTGTAACACACATGAGGATCATCACACAGGACACACACACCAGTGTAACACACATGAGGATCATCACACAGGAGACACACACCAGTGTAACACACATGAGGATCATCACACAGGACACACACCAGTGTAACACACATGAGGATCATCACACAGGACACACACCAGTGTAACACACATGAGGATCATCACACAGGAGACACACACCAGTGTAACACACATGAGGATCATCACACAGGAGACACACACACCAGTGTAACACACATGAGGATCATCACACAGGACACACACACCAGTGTAACACACATGAGGATCATCACACAGGAGACACACACACCAGTGTAACACACATGAGGATCATCACACAGGACACACACCAGTGTAACACACATGAGGATCATCACACAGGACACACACCAGTGTAACACACATGAGGATCATCACACAGGACACACACACCAGTGTAACACACATGAGGATCATCACACAGGACACACACCAGTGTAACACACATGAGGATCATCACACAGGACACACACACCAGTGTAACACACATGAGGATCATCACACAGGAGACACACACCAGTGTAACACACATGAGGATCATCACACAGGACACACACCAGTGTAACACACATGAGGATCATCACACAGGACACACACCAGTGTAACACACATGAGGATCATCACACAGGACACACACACCAGTGTAACACACATGAGGATCATCACACAGGACACACACACCAGTGTAACACACATGAGGATCATCACACAGGAGACACACACACCAGTGTAACACACATGAGGATCATCACACAGGACACACACACCAGTGTAACACACATGAGGATCATCACACAGGAGACACACACACCAGTGTAACACACATGAGGATCATCACACAGGACACACACACCAGTGTAACACACATGAGGATCATCACACAGGACACACACACCAGTGTAACACACATGAGGATCATCACACAGGAGACACACACACCAGTGTAACACACATGAGGATCATCACACAGGACACACACACCAGTGTAACACACATGAGGATCATCACACAGGACACACACACCAGTGTAACACACATGAGGATCATCACACAGGACACACACACCAGTGTAACACACATGAGGATCATCACACAGGAGACACACACCAGTGTAACACACATGAGGATCATCACACAGGAGACACACACCAGTGTAACACACATGAGGATCATCACACAGGAGACACACACCAGTGTAACACACATGAGGATCATCACACAGGAGACACACACCAGTGTAACACACATGAGGATCATCACACAGGACACACACACCAGTGTAACACACATGAGGATCATCACACAGGAGACACACACCAGTGTAACACACATGAGGATCATCACACAGGACACACACACCAGTGTAACACACATGAGGATCATCACACAGGACACACACACCAGTGTAACACACATGAGGATCATCACACAGGAGACACACACCAGTGTAACACACATGAGGATCATCACACAGGACACACACACCAGTGTAACACACATGAGGATCATCACACAGGACACACACACCAGTGTAACACACATGAGGATCATCACACAGGAGACACACACACCAGTGTAACACACATGAGGATCATCACACAGGAGACACACACACCAGTGTAACACACATGAGGATCATCACACAGGAGACACACACACCAGTGTAACACACATGAGGATCATCACACAGGAGACACACACACCAGTGTAACACACATGAGGATCATCACACAGGAGACACACACCAGTGTAACACACATGAGGATCATCACACAGGAGACACACACCAGTGTAACACACATGAGGATCATCACACAGGACACACACACCAGTGTAACACACATGAGGATCATCACACAGGACACACACACCAGTGTAACACACATGAGGATCATCACACAGGAGACACACACACCAGTGTAACACACATGAGGATCATCACACAGGAGACACACACACCAGTGTAACACACATGAGGATCATCACACAGGAGACACACACACCAGTGTAACACACATGAGGATCATCACACAGGAGACACACACACCAGTGTAACACACATGAGGATCATCACACAGGAGACACACACCAGTGTAACACACATGAGGATCATCACACAGGAGACACACACACCAGTGTAACACACATGAGGATCATCACACAGGAGACACACACACCAGTGTAACACACATGAGGATCATCACACAGGACACACACACCAGTGTAACACACATGAGGATCATCACACAGGACACACACACCAGTGTAACACACATGAGGATCATCACACAGGACACACACACCAGTGTAACACACATGAGGATCATCACACAGGACACACACACCAGTGTAACACACATGAGGATCATCACACAGGACACACACACCAGTGTAACACACATGAGGATCATCACACAGGACACACACACCAGTGTAACACACATGAGGATCATCACACAGGAGACACACACCAGTGTAACACACATGAGGATCATCACACAGGAGACACACACCAGTGTAACACACATGAGGATCATCACACAGGACACACACACCAGTGTAACACACATGAGGATCATCACACAGGACACACACACCAGTGTAACACACATGAGGATCATCACACAGGACACACACACCAGTGTAACACACATGAGGATCATCACACAGGACACACACACCAGTGTAACACACATGAGGATCATCACACAGGACACACACACCAGTGTAACACACATGAGGATCATCACACAGGACACACACACCAGTGTAACACACATGAGGATCATCACACAGGAGACACACACACCAGTGTAACACACATGAGGATCATCACACAGGACACACACACCAGTGTAACACACATGAGGATCATCACACAGGACACACACACCAGTGTAACACACATGAGGATCATCACACAGGAGACACACACCAGTGTAACACACATGAGGATCATCACACAGGACACACACACCAGTGTAACACACATGAGGATCATCACACAGGACACACACACCAGTGTAACACACATGAGGATCATCACACAGGAGACACACACACCAGTGTAACACACATGAGGATCATCACACAGGACACACACACCAGTGTAACACACATGAGGATCATCACACAGGACACACACACCAGTGTAACACACATGAGGATCATCACACAGGAGACACACACCAGTGTAACACACATGAGGATCATCACACAGGACACACACACCAGTGTAACACACATGAGGATCATCACACAGGAGACACACACCAGTGTAACACACATGAGGATCATCACACAGGACACACACACCAGTGTAACACACATGAGGATCATCACACAGGAGACACACACCAGTGTAACACACATGAGGATCATCACACAGGAGACACACACACCAGTGTAACACACATGAGGATCATCACACAGGAGACACACACCAGTGTAACACACATGAGGATCATCACACAGGACACACACACCAGTGTAACACACATGAGGATCATCACACAGGAGACACACACACCAGTGTAACACACATGAGGATCATCACACAGGAGACACACACCAGTGTAACACACATGAGGATCATCACACAGGAGACACACACCAGTGTAACACACATGAGGATCATCACACAGGACACACACACCAGTGTAACACACATGAGGATCATCACACAGGACACACACACCAGTGTAACACACATGAGGATCATCACACAGGAGACACACACCAGTGTAACACACATGAGGATCATCACACAGGACACACACACCAGTGTAACACACATGAGGATCATCACACAGGACACACACACACCAGTGTAACACACATGAGGATCATCACACAGGAGACACACACACCAGTGTAACACACATGAGGATCATCACACAGGACACACACACACCAGTGTAACACACATGAGGATCATCACACAGGAGACACACACACCAGTGTAACACACATGAGGATCATCACACAGGACACACACACACCAGTGTAACACACATGAGGATCATCACACAGGACACACACACACCAGTGTAACACACATGAGGATCATCACACAGGACACACACACCAGTGTAACACACATGAGGAATAATGCAGGAGTCATGCCAAGCCCAACACTGATCCCAGAACGCATTATTGATTTTCAGGGATGAAATATTAATGCATCTGAAACCAGAAATCCAATTTGACTAGCAGCTCTGAAGTGGATGCAGATTTATAAGCAAAGTGTTTTTTTGTAACAAATGTTATTCCTTGTCTTTCCTAAAATGAAGAGAATATCCGTTAAATAAATGTAAAATCCTGGAAAACTAGAGTTTGGGTTTGAAACTTCACCAGTAACATGGAGATTCAGATATAACCCCTGGGTTGCTGGAGACAAATGTGAGTCTTTGAAGAAGCATGAGAAGAAACCCTGTCCCATCCTGACCCCTGACCTCTGACCCCTGAGCCGTAACCCTGTCCCATCCTGACCCCTGACCTCTGACCCCTGAGCCGTAACCCTGTCCCATCCTGACCCCTGACCTCTGACCCCTGAGCCGTTATTGATCAGGCATTTACCAGAGCGCAGCGGCTGACGTCTCCGAGTCTTCATCACTCAGTGTGTCCAGCAGCCCTGGGCAGAAAACACACTCATTATTAGATGGTGCAGAAAAGGTGCATGGAAAATCATTATACACTGATTATTTCATGAGAAACAGAACACACTGCAGGGCACAGGACATAAAGTGCTGCAGCTTAAAGGATTAGTTCCCTTCCGAATTAATTTCCTGATAATTTACTCTCCTTACTTACTACTCTAAGTACGTACTTGCTTTTAATGGTCTTGCTCGAGCTGTGATGCGCCACACATTGCGTAATCAGGCTGAAAGGTCACGCGCGTTCCGGTTCAGAAATGTAGGAAAATCTCATTTTAAATCTAAATATAATCTCCTCCAACTTCAAAATCGCCCGACATCTTTGTTTTACCTTTTATTTAATTATTTTTTTGTAAATGGCGTTTGATTTAGTCTTTGCACGTTGGCTTTATAAACACTGGGTCTGTTCTTACGCCTACGTCCCGCTTGACCTTTCACCCTGATGATGTAATGTGTGTCGCATCACAGCGAGTGCAAGACCAGCATTAGTGGTTAAAAGTATATAAGTGTGTATTGTGTTATAAATGTCCGCTGGTGTGTCTAGATCAGACTCTTATTCCTCGGCTGGATCGTGGCGAAACTTTGAAGCTGCACTGAAACTCACACCTTCGACCCGTCGGCCAAAAACCCTGGAGTGTGTTCCTCAAAAACCTTCATTTGTTTTCGACTGAAGAAAGACAGACATGAACATCTTGGATGCGTGGGGAGAGTGAACGACCAGCTTTCATTCTGAAGTGAACTACTCGTTTAAGACAGAACACAGACTCACAGGTCATCATGGTGTCCAGGATTGAGCCGCAGGTCTCAGAGAGTGTGTGACTGGAGTCTTCAAAGGCCCTCCGCACCAGAACACACACCACAGCTACAACACACACACACACACACACACATCACTGCAGCTCGGCATGATGGGAAACGGGCCCATTGTGCCCAAATGAACAATACAGGGAAACGTTTATCATAAACTGAAACTACGGAAGCTTGTTTCTGCCATCACACACTTGAAACCTGGATGAACAAGGTATTAATATTAAATTATATAACGTTATGTTTCAAAGTGTGTGATATATGAAGGCTTGTTTACTCATTATTTGAACAAGGACTGCATACATATATCTTTATGTGTGACATTCTGTTCTATTATTGGTCTAACTTTATTTAGTGGGCGAGTATGTAGTGCCAGTGGGCGGGGCCTGTCGTACCAGTGGGCGGGCCTCTAGTACCAGTGGGTAGGGTCTCTAGTACCAGTGGGCGGGGCCTCTAGTACCAGTGGGCGGGGCCTCTAGTGCCAGTGGGCGGGGTCTGTAGTGCCAGTGGGCGGGGTCTGTAGTGCCAGTGGGCAGGGCCTGTAGTGCCAGTGGGCGGGCCTGTAGTACCAGTGGGCAGGGCCTGTAGTACCAGTGGGCAGGGCCTGTAGTACCAGTGGGCGGGGCCTGTAGTACCAGTGGGCAGGGGCTATGGTGGAATGATGGGTAACTATTGGTCGATGTCTTGCTCTTGAGAAGGGTTTATGCAAATGTATTTGCCAGAGTGACGTCACAGATCCCAGAATATCAGAACGAGCTGTTTCTGAGATTGATTTAATAACCGTTTATAATGAGGACATTAGTTATCTTGCAGGATGTTTTAATGGTTTAAAGACTTCTTATATGTCAAAAGATCAAGGCAAATTTGATTCCTCATATCACAACCCCTTTAACATCATCCCTTTTAATCTTATTTTGTTTTCCTTTTATTAATTTCTCTATATTTTTGCACTTTTCATTTGGTACGGTTTATTTGTATAATTACACACAATGCTTTGGCAGTTCTGATGTAAAATATGAAATGTAAGCACACTAAACACACAGACAGTGAGAGGAGGAACTTCTTACTGGAGAGAATCTGATGCTGCATCTGCTGTTGATCCGCTGCTGTTGCCATGGAAACACACAGATCTCTGAGCTGCTCCGTGATCCACGAGCTCACCGATGCTGCGTCTCTGATCAGACACATCACATGATCAGCCTGCACGTGTGTGTGTGTGTGTGTGTGTGTGTGTGTGTGAGTGAGTGAGTGTGTGAGTGTGATACCTGTGCAGCAGGAAGTCCAGCGTGAGGATGTTGTGTGTGTGTAGATGATACGTCAGCTCCAGCACAGGCTGTGTGAGCGCAGAAACACAGCTTTAGATAGATAATCTACATTCAACCTGATAAACAAAACAGTAGGGAACACTGGGGAACACGTGAAGAACACTGGGAAAAACTAAGGAACACGGGGGAACACCTGGGGAACACCTGGGGAACACGTGGGGAACACGTGGGGAACACGTGAGGAACACTGGGGAACACCTGGGGAACACCTGGGGAACACCTGGGGAACACCTGGGGAACACTGGGGAACACCTGGGGAACACCTGGGGAACACGTGAGGAACACGTGAGGAACACTGGGGAACACGTGGGGAACACTGGGGAACACCTGGGGAACACGTGGGGAACACCTGGGGAACACCTGGGGAACACGTGAGGAACACCTGGGGAACACGTGGGGAACACCTGGGGAACACCTGGGGAACACCTGGGGAACACGTGAGGAACACGTGAGGAACACTGGGGAACACCTGGGGAACACCTGGGGAACACGTGGGGAACACCTGGGGAACACCTGGGGAACACTGGGGAACACCTGGGGAACACCTGGGGAACACGTGGGGAACACTGGGGAACACCTGGGGAACACCTGGGGAACAACTGGGGAACACCTGGGGAACACGTGAGGAACACTGGGGAACACCTGGGGAACACCTGGGGAACACTGGGGAACACCTGGGGAACACCTGGGGAACACCTGGGGAACAACTGGGGAACAACTGGGGAACACCTGGGGAACACCTGGGGAACACTGGGGAACACCTGGGGAACACCTGGGGAACACGTGAGGAACACCTGGGGAACACCTGGGGAACACGTGAGGAACACTGGGAAAAACTAAGGAACACTGGGGAAACACTGAGGAACACGTGGGGAACATGTTCCCACCTTGTGATCCCACCTTTAACTGGAGGGTGTATATCGTGTATGCCATGTTTTAAAGGAGGCCCGCGGTCTTGGACTGACACCCAAGCCCAACCCCTGTCCCTCACAGAAACACGAGCCAAACACTAGCCTTACATCAAAACATGTTTCGCCCATTTATCAGCCTTTATAACTAATGAGGACCAGTAGAACATACTCACGATATAATGTTTCAATATATAAGTGAAGAGATTTGGCAGACACAATTATAACCACACACACACTCTCACAGAATCACACACACACACACACACACACACACACACACACACACACTCACCTGCAGCTTCCAGTATTCCTGCCAGAAGAGTTCCGGGCTGAATATCCCAGCAGACATCAGTGCTCGAGCAGACTTCACTAACGCACACACATCAGTCTAATGATAAAACACACACATACGTCATGTATGGATATATCCATCAGAATCTGAACCATTTGTATCAGTCAGCATCTTGCAACACACTCTCTGTTCAGCGTTCAGTAGCACACGGTGTGTGTCATCAGTGTGTGAGATCAGATCCCGGATGTTCCCAGACAGAACTGTGACGGCCAGCAGCGCCACTGGAACCTGCATGTGCTCCGATCGGCTCCGCAACTCATCCGCTGATCGACAACACAACACAACATCAGGACAGGCACTCACATCAGCACACACACTGATTACTCAGAGGCGTTAGTGGTAGTGTGTGTATCAGGACGAGTCTTACCCAGAACTGACGACTGCAGATCTTCATATCCGTCACAGCTGAGGTCTCTGATCGGACCATGTGACTGACAAACACAGAATGCACTCTCCATGAAATCACACAATGCTTTTCACTTTATTTCTGTAACATAATACATAAGACAGGTTGTGTGTCGGTGTTGTGTGTCGGTGTGATCTCCAGTGGCAGCTCTGGTGTTGTGTGTCGGTGTTGTGTGTCGGTGTTGTGTGTCAGTGTTGTGTGTCAGTGTTGTGTGTCAGTGTTGTGTGTTCTGTGTCAGTGTTGTGTGTTGGTGTTGTGTGTCGGTGTGATCTCCAGTGGCAGCTCTGGTGTTGTGTGTCGGTGTTGTGTGTCGGTGTTGTGTGTCAGTGTTGTGTGTTCTGTGTCAGTGTTGTGTGTTGGTGTTGTGTGTCGGTGTGATCTCCAGTGGCAGCTCTGGTGTTGTGTGTCGGTGTTGTGTGTCGGTGTTGTGTGTCAGTGTTGTGTGTCAGTGTTGTGTGTTCTGTGTCAGTGTTGTGTGTTGGTGTTGTGTGTCGGTGCAATCTCCAGTGGCAGCTCTGGTGTTGTGTGTCTGTGTTGTGTGTCGGTGTTGTGTGTCAGTGTTGTGTGTCAGTGTTGTGTGTCAGTGTTGTGTGTCAGTGTTGTGTGTTCTGTGTCAGTGTTGTGTGTTGGTGTTGTGTGTCGGTGTGATCTCCAGTGGCAGCTCTGGTGTTGTGTGTCGGTGTTGTGTGTCGGTGTTGTGTGTCAGTGTTGTGTGTCAGTGTTGTGTGTTCTGTGTCAGTGTTGTGTGTTGTGTGTCGGTGTTGTGTGTCAGTGTGATCTCCAGTGGCAGCTCTGGTGTTGTGTGTCGGTGTTGTGTGTCGGTGTGATCTCCAGTGGCAGCTCTGGTGTTGTGTGTCTGTGTTGTGTGTCGGTGTTGTGTGTCAGTGTTGTGTGTCAGTGTTGTGTGTTCTGTGTCAGTGTTGTGTGTTGTGTGTCGGTGTTGTGTGTCAGTGTGATCTCCAGTGGCAGCTCTGGTGTTGTGTGTCGGTGTTGTGTGTCGGTGTTGTGTGTTCTGTGTCAGTGTTGTGTGTTGGTGTTGTGTGTCGGTGTGATCTCCAGTGGCAGCTCTGGTGTTGTGTGTCGGTGTTGTGTGTCGGTGTTGTGTGTCGGTGTTGTGTGTCGGTGTGATCTCCAGTGGCAGCTCTGGTGTTGTGTGTCTGTGTTGTGTGTCGGTGTTGTGTGTCAGTGTTGTGTGTCAGTGTTGTGTGTTCTGTGTCAGTGTTGTGTGTTGTGTGTCGGTGTTGTGTGTCAGTGTGATCTCCAGTGGCAGCTCTGGTGTTGTGTGTCTGTGTTGTGTGTCGGTGTTGTGTGTCAGTGTTGTGTGTCAGTGTTGTGTGTTCTGTGTCAGTGTTGTGTGTTGTGTGTCAGTGTTGTGTGTCAGTGTTGTGTGTCAGTGTTGTGTGTCAGTGTTGTGTGTCAGTGTTGTGTGTCAGTGTTGTGTGTCAGTGTTGTGTGTCAGTGTTGTGTGTTGGTGTGATCTCCAGTGGCAGCTCTGGTGTTGTGTGTCGGTGTTGTGTGTCGGTGTTGTGTGTCGGTGTGATCTCCAGTGGCAGCTCTGGTGTTGTGTGTCGGTGTTGTGTGTCGGTGTTGTGTGTCGTGTGTTGTGTGTCGGTGTTGTGTGTCAGTGTTGTGTGTCGGTGTGATCTCCAGTGGCAGCTCTGGTGTTGTGTGTCGGTGTTGTGTGTCAGTGTTGTGTGTTGTGTGTCGGTGTGATCTCCAGTGGCAGCTCTGGTGTTGTGTGTCGGTGTTGTGTGTCAGTGTTGTGTGTCAGTGTGATCTCCAGTGGCAGCTCTGGTGTTGTGTGTCGGTATTGTGTGTCGGTGTTGTGTGTCGGTGTTGTGTGTCGGTGTTGTGTGTCGTGTGTTGTGTGTCGGTGCTGTGTGTCAGTGTTGTGTGTTGTGTGTCGGTGTGATCTCCAGTGGCAGCTCTGGTGTTGTGTGTCAGTGTTGTGTGTCAGTGTTGTGTGTTGTGTGTCGGTGTGATCTCCAGTAGCAGCTCTGGTGTTGTGTGTCTGTGTTGTGTGTCGGTGTGATCTCCAGTAGCAGCTCTGGTGTTGTGTGTCTGTGTTGTGTGTTGTGTGTCAGTGTTGTGTGTTGTGTGTCGGTGTTGTGTGTCAGTGTTGTGTGTTGTGTGTCGGTGTGATCTCCAGTGGCAGTTGTGGTGTTGTGTATCGGTGTTGTGTGTCTGTGTTGTGTGTCGGTGTTGTGTGTCGGTGTTGTGTGTCGGTGTGATCTCCAGTAGCAGCTCTGGTGTTGTGTGTCTGTGTTGTGTGTTGTGTGTCAGTGTTGTGTGTTGTGTGTCGGTGTTGTGTGTCAGTGTTGTGTGTTGTGTGTCGGTGTGATCTCCAGTGGCAGTTGTGGTGTTGTGTATCGGTGTTGTGTGTCTGTGTTGTGTGTCGGTGTTGTGTGTCGGTGTTGTGTGTCGGTGTGATCTCCAGTAGCAGCTCTGGTGTTGTGTGTCTGTGTTGTGTGTTGTGTGTCAGTGTTGTGTGTTGTGTGTCGGTGTTGTGTGTCAGTGTTGTGTGTTGTGTGTCGGTGTGATCTCCAGTGGCAGTTGTGGTGTTGTGTATCGGTGTTGTGTGTCAGTGTTGTGTGTCAGTGTTGTGTGTTCTGTGTCAGTGTTGTGTGTCAGTGTTGTGTGTTGGTGTTGTGTGTCGGTGTGATCTCCAGTGGCAGCTCTGGTGTTGTGTGTCGGTGTTGTGTGTCGGTGTTGTGTGTCGGTGTTGTGTGTCAGTGTTGTGTGTTCTGTGTCAGTGTTGTGTGTTGGTGTTGTGTGTCGGTGTGATCTCCAGTGGCAGCTCTGGTGTTGTGTGTCGGTGTTGTGTGTCGGTGTTGTGTGTCAGTGTTGTGTGTCAGTGTTGTGTGTCAGTGTTGTGTGTTCTGTGTCAGTGTTGTGTGTTGGTGTTGTGTGTCGGTGCAATCTCCAGTGGCAGCTCTGGTGTTGTGTGTCTGTGTTGTGTGTCGGTGTTGTGTGTCAGTGTTGTGTGTCAGTGTTGTGTGTCAGTGTTGTGTGTTCTGTGTCAGTGTTGTGTGTTGGTGTTGTGTGTCGGTGTGATCTCCAGTGGCAGCTCTGGTGTTGTGTGTCGGTGTTGTGTGTCGGTGTTGTGTGTCAGTGTTGTGTGTCAGTGTTGTGTGTTCTGTGTCAGTGTTGTGTGTTGTGTGTCGGTGTTGTGTGTCAGTGTGATCTCCAGTGGCAGCTCTGGTGTTGTGTGTCGGTGTTGTGTGTCGGTGTGATCTCCAGTGGCAGCTCTGGTGTTGTGTGTCTGTGTTGTGTGTCGGTGTTGTGTGTCAGTGTTGTGTGTCAGTGTTGTGTGTTCTGTGTCAGTGTTGTGTGTTGTGTGTCGGTGTTGTGTGTCAGTGTGATCTCCAGTGGCAGCTCTGGTGTTGTGTGTCGGTGTTGTGTGTCGGTGTTGTGTGTTCTGTGTCAGTGTTGTGTGTTGGTGTTGTGTGTCGGTGTGATCTCCAGTGGCAGCTCTGGTGTTGTGTGTCGGTGTTGTGTGTCGGTGTTGTGTGTCGGTGTTGTGTGTCGGTGTGATCTCCAGTGGCAGCTCTGGTGTTGTGTGTCTGTGTTGTGTGTCGGTGTTGTGTGTCAGTGTTGTGTGTCAGTGTTGTGTGTTCTGTGTCAGTGTTGTGTGTTGTGTGTCGGTGTTGTGTGTCAGTGTGATCTCCAGTGGCAGCTCTGGTGTTGTGTGTCTGTGTTGTGTGTCGGTGTTGTGTGTCAGTGTTGTGTGTCAGTGTTGTGTGTTCTGTGTCAGTGTTGTGTGTTGTGTGTCAGTGTTGTGTGTCAGTGTTGTGTGTCAGTGTTGTGTGTCAGTGTTGTGTGTCAGTGTTGTGTGTCAGTGTTGTGTGTCAGTGTTGTGTGTTGGTGTGATCTCCAGTGGCAGCTCTGGTGTTGTGTGTCGGTGTTGTGTGTCGGTGTTGTGTGTCGGTGTTGTGTGTCGGTGTGATCTCCAGTGGCAGCTCTGGTGTTGTGTGTCGGTGTTGTGTGTCGGTGTTGTGTGTCGTGTGTTGTGTGTCGGTGTTGTGTGTCAGTGTTGTGTGTCGGTGTGATCTCCAGTGGCAGCTCTGGTGTTGTGTGTCGGTGTTGTGTGTCAGTGTTGTGTGTTGTGTGTCGGTGTGATCTCCAGTGGCAGCTCTGGTGTTGTGTGTCGGTGTTGTGTGTCAGTGTTGTGTGTCAGTGTGATCTCCAGTGGCAGCTCTGGTGTTGTGTGTCGGTATTGTGTGTCGGTGTTGTGTGTCGGTGTTGTGTGTCGGTGTTGTGTGTCGTGTGTTGTGTGTCGGTGCTGTGTGTCAGTGTTGTGTGTTGTGTGTCGGTGTGATCTCCAGTAGCAGCTCTGGTGTTGTGTGTCTGTGTTGTGTGTCGGTGTGATCTCCAGTAGCAGCTCTGGTGTTGTGTGTCTGTGTTGTGTGTTGTGTGTCAGTGTTGTGTGTTGTGTGTCGGTGTTGTGTGTCAGTGTGATCTCCAGTGGCAGCTCTGGTGTTGTGTGTCTGTGTTGTGTGTCGGTGTTGTGTGTCAGTGTTGTGTGTCAGTGTTGTGTGTTCTGTGTCAGTGTTGTGTGTTGTGTGTCAGTGTTGTGTGTCAGTGTTGTGTGTCAGTGTTGTGTGTCAGTGTTGTGTGTCAGTGTTGTGTGTCAGTGTTGTGTGTTGGTGTGATCTCCAGTGGCAGCTCTGGTGTTGTGTGTCGGTGTTGTGTGTCGGTGTTGTGTGTCGGTGTTGTGTGTCGGTGTGATCTCCAGTGGCAGCTCTGGTGTTGTGTGTCGGTGTTGTGTGTCGGTGTTGTGTGTCGTGTGTTGTGTGTCGGTGTTGTGTGTCAGTGTTGTGTGTCGGTGTGATCTCCAGTGGCAGCTCTGGTGTTGTGTGTCGGTGTTGTGTGTCAGTGTTGTGTGTTGTGTGTCGGTATGATCTCCAGTGGCAGCTCTGGTGTTGTGTGTCGGTGTTGTGTGTCAGTGTTGTGTGTCAGTGTGATCTCCAGTGGCAGCTCTGGTGTTGTGTGTCGGTATTGTGTGTCGGTGTTGTGTGTCGGTGTTGTGTGTCGGTGTTGTGTGTCGTGTGTTGTGTGTCGGTGCTGTGTGTCAGTGTTGTGTGTTGTGTGTCGGTGTGATCTCCAGTGGCAGCTCTGGTGTTGTGTGTCAGTGTTGTGTGTCAGTGTTGTGTGTTGTGTGTCGGTGTGATCTCCAGTAGCAGCTCTGGTGTTGTGTGTCTGTGTTGTGTGTCGGTGTGATCTCCAGTAGCAGCTCTGGTGTTGTGTGTCTGTGTTGTGTGTTGTGTGTCAGTGTTGTGTGTTGTGTGTCGGTGTTGTGTGTCAGTGTTGTGTGTTGTGTGTCGGTGTGATCTCCAGTGGCAGTTGTGGTGTTGTGTATCGGTGTTGTGTGTCTGTGTTGTGTGTCGGTGTTGTGTGTCGGTGTTGTGTGTCGGTGTGATCTCCAGTAGCAGCTCTGGTGTTGTGTGTCTGTGTTGTGTGTTGTGTGTTGTGTGTCGGTGTTGTGTGTCAGTGTTGTGTGTTGTGTGTCGGTGTGATCTCCAGTGGCAGTTGTGGTGTTGTGTATCGGTGTTGTGTGTCGGTGTTGTGTGTCGGTGTTGTGTGTTGTGTGTCAGTGTTGTGTGTCAGTGTGATCTCCAGTGGCAGCTCTGGTGTTGTGTGTCTGTGTTGTGTGTCGGTGTTGTGTGTCGGTGTTGTGTACTTGGACTCACTGTGATCTCCAGTGGCAGCTCTGGTGTTGTGTGTCGGTGTTGTGTGTTGTGTGTCGGTGTTGTGTGTCGGTATTGTGTACTCGGACTCACTGTGATCTCCAGCAGAAGTTGTGTTGTGTTCTGGTTTCTCATCAGCAGATTCACGCTGGATTCCTGGAGCTGCTCCTCATCATCTCTGCGTCTCTTCAGAGATCTGCGCGCTACACAAACACACAAACACACAATCACTTCACATTATTCACTCACTGCCTCTTCAGAGATCTGCGCGCTACACAAACACACAACCACACAATCACTTCATATTCGCTCACTAAGTCTCTTAAAGGGATACTCCACCCAAAAATGAAAATTCTGTCATCATTTCCTCACCCTCAAGTTGTTGCAACCCTGTGTGAGTTTCTTCTTCTGCTGAACACGAAGGAAGATATTATGAAGAACGATTGGAACTTTGGCAACATTGGCCCTGTCCCAATACCCGCACTTGCGCCCTTGTGCCCCTCAAATGCGCGTTCTCGCTAAGGGGTGCAAGACCGTAGGGTGTCCCGATCCTCTAATAGTGTTCTCCAGGGGTGATCATAAGGGCACTTAATGCACCCCTTTCGCAAGTGCGCATCAGACCTCACTTTGCTGTGGGATATTACCCAGAATCCTTGTAGTGTTGTGACGTTTCGAACAGCTAACCAATGGGGGAGAACGGTTGCTATGGTGCTGTTCGGGAGCGGAAACTCCGAAGATAAAGGAAGCCGGTGTGGTGAAGTGTTTTTCAAGGCCGCGAAATTTAAAAATATTAGTGTTATCGTGTCACGAAATGTAGTTTTAAGAGTTTTTCAGTCGAGAATATAGTTGTTTAAAGCTCAAATCTGTGGTTTGTTTATAAAGATAGCGCCTATTTAAAAATTTGATCTGACTTTTTCGGAGTTCCAGGGATCAGCGGGCGCACAGCGCTCATGTACCCCGCCTGGAACAGCCTTACCTCGGCTAGTCATTCTGACGTTTCCCGCGGGCTCTGTGTCTAGTGGTTAAACATGAGCTATAAATCGGCTTTTGTATATCTAACAGGCGATCTTTGGTCTCATTAATCTATGATTTGTTCCCTGGCAAATCATTTTGGCTGAGGGCAAAGTGAAGTTTCATAACTTTATATATTTAGGCTATTTAACTGTAACGTTAGCCTATTGACTTATGTTTGACTGAATCTTTTAACTTGCTTTATTTCTTGACTTATATAGCTTCTTATACTTTTTAGGCTACTTATACTTTAATAATGGCTATTATTGATCAATAAAACTGAAATGTAACAAAAAGAGACAGGGTTGTGTCATTTTATTTCATATAACCTGTGTAAGACTATTTTAATATATACCCTATATATCACCAACACGTCATGTATTTTTTCATGTATGGGATGGGAAGAATTTCATATATCAATTTCCATAATAACATAATTAAAATTGTTTCGAATCGCTGTGAATACGGTAAGGCAGTATAAGCTCAGGTAAACCCCAATCACAATTTATCTTATCAGTTATTACAATTTATCTTAGCCAAAAACTAATTTAATATTAATAACATTAACAGAAAGGTTGGGAGCTAAGAGTAAAAAAAGATATACATTTTTTCATTCAAAGGATTGTGTCATGTTACAGCTATTATAAGCAGCACACACATTAGCCAAATGAACGGTGTTTACTCCCCTGATCACAACAGAAGTGACGTAGATAGTGACGTGTGCAAAACTGTCCCAATTCTGCTCTTCACAGCTTCGGGCCCTTGCACACTTACTCCGCTAAGTGCACTTTCAACAAGTGTCCACTTCCAGGAAGGCCTTAGGGCTCAAGTGAGTATTGGGACTGGGCCATTGACTTCCAGAGTATTTTTTTTTTTTTCTACTATGGAAGTCAATGGTGCCAAACAACCGTTTGGTTCCAATCGTTCTTCAAAATATCTTCCTTTGTGTTCAGCAGAAGAAGAAACTCACACAGGTTTGCAACAACTTGAGGGTGAGGAAATGATGACAGAATTTTCATTTCTGGGTGTAGTATCCCTTTAAGAGATCTTCAAAATTCTGACTCTCAATGATGACTTTTATGTCGCTCATCTTTTCATCGCATAAATATTATTAGTATGTCATATTTTCGATCTAATATGTCATATTTTCAACTTTCATCCACAAAAATGGCTGCAGGTCATACTTTTTAATCCAATAATGTCATAATTCTGACTTTTCGTCTAGTAAAGTGTCATAGGTTCCACTTTTATGTCATAGTTATGAATTAGCATATCATATTTTCGACATTTCACCTCATAAAGATGACTTTCTATGTCGTCATGTGGACATTGTGTGTCATTGCCATAGGTCATTACTGTGAGAATGATGTTGTTGTGTGTCCGGAAGGGGTGTGTGTGTGTGTGTGTAGAGTTGTGTCTCACCGAGCAGAGCCGTAATGGCGGAGGAGTGTGTGGAGTGATCCGCGCTGCTGAACATGCTGCGATAAACACTCAATCTGAGATAAACACACTCTATCTGATCGATCCTGTGCGGAATTAAACTACACATATAGAACACACACACACACACGTTCCTCAGCAGATCTGATTTGCACAACAATCCCGCGCGCCGCACGTCACGGCGCTCACTGGCTGCGTGAGAGCGGAAGTGTGTTTTTATTGGTTCCGAGCCAACCGGCAGCAGCCAATCGTTATGGGCGCCTCTGTCGTCAGCCAATCACAGGTGGCGCAGAGCGAGCGTCACACCAATGACAGAAAGATGTGCCACTCTAATACTACACAAGCTGGTTCCCGCAGCTCCACATGAGTTAATGCAGTTTGCATGGAAGTCTCCGTGAAGCCAAACATGTTTTCACCTCATATTATTTACAATAATCGTTATTTTATCATTTTGGCTTTTTTCTAAAATGACGAATCAGGCAATAAGGAGTTAGATAATAGCAATGGTGTAAAGTACTGAAGTAAATGTAATTAGTTACTGTATTTTTTGGCTACTTTGTAGTTTTACTGAGCATCAAATATATTAGCAACTTTTACTCTCTACTTGACTATATTTTTTAATAAGTAAATGTACTTTTTACTCCAATAGCCTGCATTTGTGAAGAGTGATGCATCATTTCTGCTATAAAGAAGCGGTCTCGTATTGAGGAACATGATCAGTGTGTTTGGCCTTTACTCACTCAAACTGCTCTACAAGGCCACTTCACACGAGTGCGAGTGTGTAAACTATAGTTGTGTTTGATTTATGAGATGAGGTCATGACGAGGGCAAAACCAGCACACACAGTGCAAGTAGACTTTGATTATTTAATTTTACTTATTATTTTATTTATCCGCTATGTTGTTGAGACCTTTATGAAGGATTTGGGTTGATGGCCTTTTAGTGCACTTGAGCTGAACTGAGACTGAGAGTTTGTAGACGTTGTGTCGACCTTTATTTATTGCAATATTTAAGTGTACAGTTTAATTTAGATTTTAGAAAATAAACATGATTTCTCATATTACAAATCAATTTTCTTATTTTCTCTGGCATGTCTCTCAGCTGTCGAGGACTAGTGCATATTTGAGCCTATGTGTTCAGTATGAGTAAAACACGTCAGGACTCTTAAAATCAGATTCTCTAAGACTTTTCCTCGAGGCGTATTGGAATTGGCTTGTAACTTGTAATGGAGTAATTTCTGCTGTAAGGAATCAGCACTTTACTCCAGTGTGGTCTTCAGGTGCTCTCTACACCTCTGTATCTTGTTTTATAAGATAGGCTATAATCACATTCATAAGATCAGGGGCATAAACACAGCCAGTAAAGACCGTGTACGAGCACTAGCACTGAGTGATGAATGTGTCATAAGTTATAATGTGCAACCGGCCAACTCAAACCCAGTCCTGATGAAATATTCATGTGCATTATTGTCCTCATCTCATAATGGATTTCTGTGTTACCCTTGTGACGTTAGTGAGATCTACCTTTGTTTGTGTAAGAAAATATTCTGAATATTAAATTAAACAAAGCTGTTTGTTCAAGTTTCACACGCATGTAAGGCAGTTCTTCCTGTTAGCGGTCAGAAGAGCACTGACACTAAGATGTGTGCGACACTAGGAACAAACAACGGATGGCGAAATCCTGGAGTCAGATCAACAGAAAACCTGATATCTCTAAAGAGCAAAGAGCACTGGAGTAAAGGTCAGAGTTCACCCACTCACTCCAGACCTGTGGAGCATAGAAGAAGACACATGAAGAACACTGTGTCGGTCCAAACTCAATCACAGTTTCAAGCTGCAAAAGGACAATAACCCATAAATCTCCAGTCGACACCCAACCCTTGACACTTTGGACCCGATTGACTTTCACTGTGTGGACACACACAGCTCAAACATCATCATTCTGCTGTGCTGGGTGAAGGCTTGTGACTCAGGACAAGGGTTAACAGGCACACTGTTTTAATGTTAATAAAAATACTTTCATAAAGACAGCATATGATACATTTTAGAAAGGTAAAGTCTGTTTTCAACTCACAAATGGAATATTTGATAACACTTTATTTTAGTGTCCTTGTTACTCATAGTTACTGTAGTAATAACTGTACATTACATCCCATTAATCCCTGTAGTAACTACATTTAGTTAATTATTATAATAACAATAGTTAATACAAATATTACTCAGTACTTAAATGCATAATTTCACTGTAACACGGACACCTTAAAATAAAGGTGCCATTGTTAAAGTGTAATTATAAATGTAAGTACTGAGTAATATTAATTAACTATAGGGTTAAGGTATGTTTAGGGTTAGTTGCATGTAATTATGCATAATTTACTGTTATTATTACTATGGTAAGTACATATGTAACAAGGACACTGTAAAATAAAGCGTTACGACATAAAGTGTAACTGAATGTGTGATTGAGAGTCGAATATAACTCAAGCTCGTACCCAAAGACACGGTCCGTCTCGTCAAAATGCATTTAATCATCATTGCGCATGAACAATCAACAGCAACATCTTCTGTAAACAGGGTACAAACAAACCATCTGAATTACAAAATAACAAACAGCAGAATTAGAAAAATATCTGGTTTATCTTCCATAAACACTGTCATCGTAATGCACGTAAGATTAAAATCTGATTAAAAAAGGCTGAACGTAAGGAGAAGGCCTTTGGTTGAGCGCCGCGTCTGGCAGTGGTGCGTGGCAGTCGTAGCCGGCGGTCAGGCGGGGGTGCGCGAGGCAGGCGTTAGGCACAGGCGTCGGTGCGCGGCGTGAGCTAGCACTAGCAGGAGCATCTCCGTCGTGCTGCTGAGCGCTACGAGGAACGGCGCCTGCGAGGCGTAGTCCGCCTCCGTCCGCTGGAACGACAGCTGCATGACGGCCAGCGCCAGGAGACTGTTCTGCACGCCCACCTCGATGCTAACCGTCCTGCGCTGCGGCGCCGCTAGCCCCGCCAGCCGCGCCATCGCCAGCCCCAGCAGCAGCCCGAACACCGGCACCGTCAGGCCTGCCGCTATGACCGGCCCGCGCACGTTCGCCAGGATCGACGAGCCCATCTGGTAGGCCATGAAGATCCCGCCCACGATTAGCACGAAGCTGAAGGGGCGGATGAGCGTGAGCAGCACGCGGGTGACGGCGGGCAGCCGCAGCTTCACTAGCATGCCCAGCGAGATGGGGATGGCGATGAAGAGCAGCGTGCCGAGGATCTTGACGAAGGGCACGTGGAGCGCGGCGTGGACGCCTAGCAGCCAGCCGTAGAACGCCGAGGACAGTGGCATGGCAGCGGTGGCGACCACGGTGGACACGAGCGTCATGCTAATGGCTAAAGTGACGTCTCCGCCTAGCAGCAGGCTGTACAGGTATCCGCCGCCTCCGCCCGGCGCCGAGCAGGTGATCACCAGGCCTAGCGACAGCGCCTTGGGGAGCGCGGCTAACCGGGACAGGCCGTACCCATACAGCGGCATTATGAGGAACTGTCCCGCGACGCCTAGCAGCAGCGGCACCGGCCTCTTCAGCAGCGCTAGCAGAACCTCCACCTCCACCTTGCAGCCGAACGCGCACTTGTTGACGAAGATGAGCGGCAGCAGCGCGAACAAGATGGGGTTCTCCGAGAAGTGCGACAGCCCGCCGGACTCCAGGAGCCGGGCCGCCGGGTCGTCCTCGCCCGCCGCCACCCTGATGGAGTAATCGCTGCGCTCCTCGATGAGCACCGGCTCCGAGTCGCGGTCCAGGTCCAGCAGCTGGATGAGCAGCGGAGCCGTTCCAGGAACCCCGGAGCGGATGCTAATCACGTAGCTGTTCGCGGCTCCCGCTCGCCCGCCGTCCGTCACGTTCAGCACGGAGATCACGTCCGGGTCCAGAGACCTCACCCGAACCGTCTGCTTCAGGCTCTCGCGACCCTTCCGGCCCCCGGAGCTGCGGTACACACTGGAGATCACGATCACGCCGCGCGTGTTCTGCGGAAACTCAAACTCCAGCGAGGAGCCGTCTCCGATGTGAAGGTACTGAAGCGGTTTCTGCTCCTGATCTGGATCTTCTGCTTGAGCGATTAACAACAGGCAGCTCAACACGAGCACTGTCTTCATGTCTCCACCATCACCGAGACCCAAACACACCGCAGAAAGCCTCTCATATGATCCTCAGTGAATATCTCTCCTCAGACAACATCTTTGAATCCTCACAGATCTGGTCACGATCGTACAAATCCGCTTCACAGTCATCTCATGACGGCTGACACCGGAACTCACTTCAGCACGAGCGCCTCACAGATGTTATTTCCGTGTTTGGGGATTATTATGTCTTAATCCTGAGGATGATCTCGTCATGTTTACTGTTCTCTGTCGCGGTATTTTGCTCTCGTCATCTCTGCTGGTGAATCCGGTCTGATCAGCTCGAGCGGTTACTACGGGCGACTCCCTTCAGAAAAAGGGGATTAGCGGAAGAGCGACAAACTGCCGAAAGTGGGCGGGGCTTAACGGCGCGGAGCCGTCTCTGATTGGTCATTTACGACTAGTTTACGCAATAATGTTTATGTTTTTACTCTTCACCTCGTATATCAAATCCAGCGTCTATTAAAGTTTGTTAACGTCACTATTCAAGTATAAAATATTATCCAGACCGTAGATGAAACGGCTCAGATTTGGCGTTGGTCACGTGACACGCGTTTTTTTATTCAACGCTGCGAGGAAGGGCCAATCACAGTGGCTTGTGATTACATTTCGAGGTGTTTTGTTTGATTATTTCAGAGAGACTGCAGAAGCGGATTTGCATTTATGTATAAGGTACCAGTCCTTGAAAAGGGCACTTTTAAGCAATTATAGTTTCAGAACACAAATGTCTCCGGTGAAGAATAAATGTCCTAGCTCATGTGAATGAGACTGGGTTGAGGAGTGGGCTTTCTGAGCAGCGTAGCGCCCCCTGCAGGAATAGGTTAAACCAGGGAAACTGGGAATGTCTTCTCCTCCCAGTAACACTCCTCGGGAAACACGGAAACACCCCGGCTCGTGAGCCTACGGAAGCCGGCCGTGGACTAACCTCACAAACAGGCCGTAATGCTAGCATATTAATCTCCTAGGGTTGTAAAAGTGTGCTGGGACTGCAGAATACTACAGAAACACTAAGTGCATTGATTATTTGGACTGATTATTATTTTATTTTTTACATGTTACTGAA